CGCCGCGCCGTGCGTATTTATCCCGTTCAAAGCAATCCAGATCGTTCTCGAACACTAACGCGCTGGTCCGGCTGGTCGGTTCTAGCCGATTCTAGCTTGATGGCGTCAGCGGCAGATCGCTCACCGCAACGTTGCCGCTGTTTATGTTTAATATTATGACAATTAGATTTTTTTGTGGAATTTTCGGAAGCTTCTCTGATTTTTGCAGTTTGTATTTTTCAAATTAAAATCGTGAGAGCTACCAGAATTGCCTCCGCGAGCTACCGGTAGCTCGCGATCGACAGGTTGGCGACCACTGATCTATGCCATCCTCGAATCTTACCAAACTCTGATGGAGCAGTCACCCTCACAGAGCATCGACCTACCATAATAGTTTACCAGATTGATCCATTGATTGAGATTTGTTAAATTCCATTCTACTTTGATTTACTGATTTATTTCCAACATGCTGGATGATAAATATCCCCACATTTTATGCACTGAACTTTCTTCACAGCTTTTTTCAGACAATGTTTACAAGTAGAATCACTGTTTTTTAGAGCGTTGTGTTATTGAACTTCCGTCGCTCGCCATTTTCAGTGAGTTGTGAGTGAGAATAATAATATTACAAAGAAATATCATGTCCATGATTTTTAGACTAGACAAATAAAAAACATTTGCAAGAACTTCCTATGAGAGGTAATGAAAGTCTTTCGGATATAATACAATGTGCGGGAAATAGTTGTTTTTTAGCAGGCATTTGCTAAATTCTACTGTGTTGGAACATGGGAAAGAAAGATTGTTTTACAACTTGAAAAATTTATTTTCTCAAAATAATAGCATATTCGTTGTCTCACAATTGTATGTACTTATGAAATGAATTAATAATTTTCAAATTTCTAAAATCAGAATTGCAGATATTTGGAAAAAATGGATTTGGACGAGTGTGTTCTGATCACTGATGCTACTTTAATTCATTTGGCAATGGGTTGTCCTCGGATTGAATACTTGGTAAGTTCAAATTAGTTTCGGTTGTTGAATGGAAGAACAACTCAGTAGCACTTGTGCTAACTGAGTTGAACTTCGTCTTTTGTTATATCAGCAACTAGCTCTGTAGTTTATTTAAATATTTGTATGTAACTACAGCTTGGAAACAATAAAGACGATTATTATTACTATTATTATTATTATTCAATTTTAAAGTAAAGGCAGATTTATTCAGGAAATTGTCCAATGAAACAAGTTCTCTGCCATTATGGTGTATGAGACCAAGCCAAGGGTGTTCCAGCAGAAAACGCCATCTTATAGGCAGAGGTACAAATTACACTTCATACGCCAACCCAGTTTGTGAGACCTAGATTATTTTTTTGGTTCTATACACTGAAATTCTGTTCTCAATTGAGTATGAATCGATATCCCATGTGAGCAGTAAATTATTTTCATGGTCTCTCACCTAACATTTTTATATATACTTGAGGTGAATCCAACATTTTAAAATATATTTGGCCGTAATTTCATTCGTGTTGGGCAAATGTTTACTTGGTACTAAATTTTACACCTAGGTCTCCAATTTCATCTATACGTGATAATTGATTACCAAGAATTGTACAAGGAAATTTGATAATTTCATAACTTATAGAATTGTAAGAAAGATATTGTAAAGCATTTATTTACATTTGAATGTACTTTATTGATTTGACCTAATTCAACTGAGTTAACTCCTTGCAAGAATTAGCAACATGGAAGGAGTTCCCAATAAAGTTTCAGATCATCTGCAAAGAGAAGAAATTGAAATTCTTTATACAAAGAGATAAGTTGTTAAAGAAAAGGTGAGCAGAAGTAGACCAGAGAAAGATCCTTGTGGGACTCCACATGATACTTTAATCAGATGTAACCTGCCACCTTTACACTTCAAAAAGCTAGGTTTTGGAAAGTCTGTATGTATAGAGTCAACCTGAGATTTGTACTAGAAGTTGGAGACGAAATAATTTTGATAGTTGTATTTATAGATGAAATCAAAAGTAACATCGAGACTGGTCTGGAAATACCTTGAAGAACTGAGGAAATTGGCGGACAGGATAGATTAACTATATACTGGGTGCCAGGGCATTCAGGATATTAGCTGAGTTAGTTGTTCTTTTTCTGTTGGGTATCTGCCACACGTACCTACAAAGTCGTAAGTCTGCATGAGAGGAAATGGGCAACCTTGAGCATGTCATAATGCACCTGACTCCCATCCCGGAGTTTGCTTGTGGAGTTGTTTCCTGGCTGCCACGCTTACTAATAATAATATAAAACTAGTGTTACTGCGTTTGGAACAATGGGAACAAACACTTGAGCACCAACTCTGGCTCTGCGACTGTTGTCACATCGCCTTTAATAATGTCTACTGCAGTAGTAGACGAAACGTTGGGCATAGAAACCAACAGACCACGGATAATGAAACCCGGAAAATAGCTTTCACACAGTAATCTCCGGCCGTGAAAGTTTACATTCTTGAATCAACCTTGTGTATGACCAGAAGATTATGACATCCAGCAAGGATAATACACAAACTAAAATAGGGCCCAAGATTGTTGGATTGGTGTCATGAAAAAGATGGGAGAAACGCCATAAGCTCATGAGGTTGCAGTGTTTTCCAAGGACAGAAATAGATAAGACTTCTGCATAAGCCCAGCTATTGATCATTATTGTTCTTGCACAACCACGACACATATTTTGTGACAAAAAAATACAACATTTTGGGGATTTCAGGATGGATACAAATAACTCTGTAGTTGACAATGTTATTTTTTTCCTTTTTTGAAATTGGAGAAATAGAGCCATATTTCCAGAAGTCGGGAAACTTCCTTCATTCAGATTTATAGTAAATATGGAAGGAATAGGTATTGTAATGCATATATACGCATATATTCCTTTCCCCACTTTTTTTCAAAATCAATCAACACCTCATTTTTAAATTGTAACAATCTATAAAAATACTGAGAAAAAACAATCTTCATTTTTCATAAAAAGTTATGCACGTAAAAATAAAAAGAATTATGATATTGTTTCATTCAAAGGTGCAGTAAACCTTTTTTACATTTAGACAACGATTTGGGAATCAACTATGAAGACTAGAGCAACATAATAGTTATATTCCTCAACCAAAGCAAGTTGAATTGAATTTTAAAAAATCGGTCTAAAACTCTTATAGCAAGTATAAATCAACGGACTTTGTAGCACTATTTGGCACAAACTATATAGAATGTAGCTGCGAACTATTTGCAATTCCGTGAACCTAAAAACTTACATTTTATAAAATAGGTCGATATTCTTCAGCACCACAGAATTTTTGATTGATGTAATTAGAAAAGAAACGACTTCATTTTTGCGATACATATTAATTTCACGTTGATGTTGAAGGATTTTTTCTTTATAGACTTTATCTCATTGTGAGCTCATAACAGACGAAGGAATAAGACACCTATCAATGTCACCCTGTGCTGCTGAAAATTTAACGGTTCTTGAACTGGATAACTGTCCACTGATTACTGATGCCTCGTTGGAACACCTCACTTCTTGTCACAATTTGCAACGGGTTGAACTTTATGACTGTCAGCTCATCACCAGAAATGGAATAAGGAGACTTAGGGTGAGTATTGAGTAGTGTCGGTATGCAGAATTTTATCTGAAAGAATCTCGGTATTCCAATCTGTTTCATGAAATTTTAGAAAGCAATTATTGTTGCAGAATAATAGCAAAAATTAATTTATAGTTTATTGTGTCTGTTCGTACTTTTTCAAGTACTATGGTTCAATGTTGTCATACAGGGTTGCTGATATAATTGGAAATGGTCGATTATTTCCTAAAGTAAGATACCTAGCGAAAAATGTTGAGATACAAAAGTTTTAGGATTTTTTGAAACCTGTCACACTAAATAAAAATTAAGTATACAAGATCAGTCAAAAAGTCTTGAAGAAATAAAGTTGCTCTTTCTTGAATATAACACCCTATATATTATTCCATATTTCAATATTGCTCGAAATTCTGAACAAAATTAATATAGCAACATTGTAGCGTTTTCACCATAAAGTGGGAGACCAGTAAGCGTTACAAATGAAGAAAATTCTTTGAATGTCATGTTAGATTTGATGGAAAATCCAATAAATTTGGCACAGCAGTGAGCTTTGAATCATAACATTAGTCGATATTCCATTCAAAAAATTTGCAAATTGCAAAAATTCCATCCTTATAAAATTCATTTGGTACAAGAATTGAGTGAAGACGATTTTGATCGTAGAATTGAGTTCTGTGAAGTTATGGATAAATTAAATGAAAATGTCAACTTTTTCAACCACATATTGTTTTTTGAATCTACATTTTGTTTGAACTGGCACGTAAATCGACACAACTGTAGAGGAAGTTCACACTCGACGGTCGCATATCAAGATGAAACTTTTCCTGATGAACAGATTGGACGCAGGGGAACAATTGAATGACCCGATATGACCCCACTTGTCACATAAAAAATGTAGTCTACAAAAATAGGCCGCCAAATATCGAAGAGTTGCAAGAAAAAATGAGTTATGAAATTTCTACCTTTCCTTCTCACATGATTTCAGATTCACTACAAAATTTTGTTCAGCGAGTTCATTACTATCAGGAGGTAAATGGTAAACACTTTGAGCACCTCATCAAATAGAATTCCAAAGAAAATAATTGTTGTTTATTAAAACTTGTTTTTTCTTTTTTTCTCCTGGCATAACTGTTGTTTTCATAAAATTTTAAATATACTGGACATTCATTGAAAAATACATTTTATCGTTTCATGTATTTTTATCAACCCTGAGCAATGGGGAATGTTCCTCAATTTGGGTTATTACAGCAAATGCAAGTTTGAACAAAATAAAGTTGAGTTCAATTCATGAGTTTTTCAAATTCACTTCGAAAAGTATTCAAATTGATGTTTCAAATGTTGGGTTTTAATTTTTAAAGGCATTTGTTTCTAATTCACATATTGGCAACAGCGCCTATATCAAGTTGAAATAATTTATACGTACCTAGATATTCTACTTTAAAAAAGGTAAATAATCTTTATAAATCAACAATTAAGGCAAAATATAAATTATAGTTCAATACCACCTCCACAAGCCACATAAACAAAAGTTGTTTTGTTATTTGTTTATGTAGAGGAAGATAGGTTAGGTACACAAAATATCATATGTCACAGAATGTCTCGAAACTCGGAACATAAGTAAACAGAACAGCATGCCTCTGAAATATGTCATCTTTGTTTGTCTCATACAGGTAACAGATTCATTGTCCTTTATTAGCTATAACCGATGTTGCCAAATGGTGAAATAGAAACCCTTTAAATGTTGAATGCATTATTTCATTCCTCTTTTTCAATTATTTCAATAATTTTTTAAAGAAAAAGGTTGAAATTATAAGTTTAAAATGCGTTGTTTTAGAGCTTTTTTATGAAAACTACTTGATTTTCGTCAGGAGGAACAACCGCATTATGCTTCTTTTATTTTCTGTAAAAAAAATTACATTATAGTGTAATAATATCCACATACTCCATCTTGTGTGACTCACATAATAAATGTCTTATCATTTCCTACCTTTTCTTTAATAAATTTGAGAGTAGTAGAAAGTTATTTTTAAATTTCGATATCTCAAAACTTGTTGAATGTAGGAAATGATGTGCTTTATCAATTTTGTTCAGAGTTTCGAGCAGAATTGAAATATGGAATAATATATAGGGTGTTCTATTAAAAAAAAACAACTTTATTTATTCAAGACTTTTTGACTAATCCTGTTTACTCAATTTCTATTCATTGTGGTAGATTTTTTAAAACCCTAAAACTTTTGTATTGTTGTAAATCATGCCCGAAAGAAAATAACGCCGACCGCCGCTGGTAGCCATAAACCAGGCGTGACGTGGCTAAGAGCGCGCGAGTGCACGATGATTCCCCGCCAATTGAGAAACAGCAAGAATAATGCTACCGACTTCGACAGAACTTCGGATAAATTTCGACGACATTCGATTACGATATTTAAAGGCTAGCCACGAGGATATCGAGACAGTAAAGTGGACGTTACAGTGCGGTACGCGAAGTGATCTAGTAAGGCGAAAGACATTCAAATAATAGTTGAAATTTTAGTTGAAGTGTTTGTTGTATTTAAAGTGAAAAAAAGTTAACTTCGATTATTCAGTGTAGTCAATTATTGGTGAACCCACGAGGAAAAACGTAACAGTATCTTAACATTTTCGCTAGGTATCTTACTTTATATATCAGCGACCCTGTATATTGTCAAATTTAGTTGTAAATAATTTCATTGGAATAAAAAAGTTACAAAAGTCTTCATAAATTATCAACTTAAAAAAAGTATTTTTGAACAATCATTTCATTTATAATAATAAAGGGATCATGCAAGTACAAATTTGATGTCGTTCAAAATTTCATAGGTACGTATTGAGTAGATGATCTAGTTACTTATTCAAGTACTCTATAATCATACTTTGAATTTTGGGTATACAACACTAGAAAAACTTCAAAATAGATATTTGAAATATTGTGATTATAAAATGCAGCTTTTGACTGAAGATCACTATTACACCAATATTATGAAGGAGTTGAAATTGATAAGTTTCAAATCTCGAAGGACTATAAATGACATATGCTTTACTAATAACTTGATAAAAGACTAACCGTTCAGAATCATTGAAACAAGTCACATTTGATATTTCAATGAAAAACCTCAGGAGCTCTAACCTTTTTTCATTGGACGCCACTCAAACAATTATGGTCAGCACTCTCTAATCGATCGGACACTGAGGTTCATAAATCAATATGAAGATGCTCTTTTGAAGGATCTCTTTTAGGTCTTGAGAAATGTCTCCAATTGATATTTCTGTGATATTCTTATTAATAAATGCGGTTTTTTCTATTGATTGGGAAAGGGATCAAAAATGTTCGAAGGTAAACAATTTAGTTTTATGCCAACGTTTCGGAGTTTCAAACATTAGTTATCCATGTTTGTTTGAAGGTGATTGACAATGTTTCGTGATGAATTTCACTAGTTCGGACTTCCATTGTCTATTATATGCAATGATTTGAAATCCCTGAAACAAGTAAAAAAAGAATAATTAAAAAAGAATAGTTGAAAATAACAATTATATTAAGCAACAATAAACCTGAAATGAAATGATACATTAGTTATCCATGTCCAAACCACGCAAAATTCTAATTAATGTTACATAGTCTATTGATCATTATACATTGTGAACGTAAATAGTAGAAAAAAAATCGGTTTTAGTACTTTTCAATAAAAAACCAATAGTGTGACATCACTAGCCGCCGAGAGGGCGCTAACTACTTTTTTTTCAAATGGAAGGTACTTATTTCAATTCTCTATACATGGAAATTACAGCCGGCTTCAGCATAAAAAATAATTGCTTCTGATTTTTTCTTCAAAGATTTAGCGCGAACCATTTTATAAAATTAAAACAAAATGAAATGAAGCGAATTCTTAGTAGCAAAAGTACAATCCCCTCTGTTACTAGGGTAACACGGTGTGGATTCTGAGCTACAAAGTCATTCACAAAAAATCCTAAATCAGATTAAAAACAGACATGCGCTTTTTTTTCAAATACTTTTCTATTTTATTCGAAATACAATTAATTTCCGTAAAGAGTTTCTTTCTCTTACACAATACTAACTTGTGTAATCTGTGATAACTAATAATCCTCTTTTGATTGCAAAGTTTCGAATTATCGTTTTTCGTAGTCTCCAATTCTCCGTAACCGGTTATCCGAATTCAAAAAAGTAAAGGTAATTGTATAGAGAATTCAAAAACCTTTAGAGCAAGGGGTCACAAGTCCTGTCTTTTTATGTGAAAAAAAGTACTGATTCATTTTCATACCAATTTTGTCGGATTTTGATATATTGCCCTGTTTAAAAGTTAAAAATGGGGTATGACTTTAAGTTATGCTTGTTACTCTCTCTGTAGTTTACATTGAGTTGAGAAGTAAAATTTGGAAAGTAAACAACACAATATCTGTGAAGTAAAATAAGAAATAGTAGACGTTGGTAGGACAAGTTTCTACAAAATATTGAAAAATATTTTATTCAAATACAAGAAGGAAGATATGAGAATTCATGTTATAATATTAGTTTATTTTTCTATTTTGATTCATTTCACTTGTCTCACCGTATATATTTATATTGAATTACAAGATTTTATCTAGTTATGAAACAAGACAAAGTTTAATTCGAAAGAGGTATATTTTAGGAGATTAATTTTTGGGAAAGGTTTTGGCTTTCAATGGGATTAAATAAAATAAGCGAACAAATGTCATTATGTACTGTCATAGATGACATAAGTAGAATTAACTCATTCGTGACATAAGTCCATAATTTTATGAATTAATTGAGTGCTTCATATTGTAATGTTATCCACATTGGTGGTGAAGAGGCAAAAAGGCAAGTGTCTTATCTGAAATATTGGAGTGTGCCTCTTTCATATGCTATATTATCTAGCAATCCTGTGAATGATTACTGATTCAATTCCATTACAAATGTTTGGATCACAGACTGATTAGAGCAACGTGTTTTTGTACAGTTCAATGTTCATATGAAAATAGTTGTTTCGAAAGTATTTTTTCTTCCAGTTTGTATCTGAAAGTTACTTCTTTGCATGATCTACACATCTTTGTAAGGAATTTATTTTGAAATTTATTGCTTTCTTCCTCCTTTTGGAAGATTCCCACATTTTTTGTGAAAAGATGGAGAAATAAAAAACCAAAACCTTTCCTACCCAAAAGACAAGTTGTTGATCAAAAATTGTCAAAGTTGAAGAAAAAAAAGTTGAATGAAAAATGGTTTTATTGAAAGATAATAAAACAGTAGATAATAGAAAGGTTTTGTGTGAAACTCTTACAGTTGTACCTGAGAAAATTAATTAAAAAAAGTCCTTTCTTTGAACAGAATAATAAAGTCACATAAAAAATTACATTCGTGTGCTTTTATGTACATTTATTGAACCTCGGTTTGGAATATAGTTTACAGCTTACATTATCTTCTGGTTGTAATTGAAACAATTTAGTATAAGATGTCATATTTATTGGTACCCAAATCTCCTTAATGTACTGTGTCAAAAACAACTGATTAATATCATAACAATATACAGTGTGGCATACTTAAGGTAAAGACACCCCCTGTATTTTAGTCATTTTTGAAAGGAGATATTTGATTTTGGGTACAGGCATAGACGTTCACAGGTCGCACTTTTCGCAATATTTAGCCCGAGTGACAGCCTTAAACCCAGCCTACTGAGTGTTCCATTTGAATTTCCATATTTGAAATAATACCAATCTCATGACGATAAATAGGTAGATCTGTATTCTTGTTGTAATTCAGATGTTCATTACATCAAAATTCTGGGAAAACAGAATTCTTTTAGAATTATATAATGAGCCGTATGATGTCATCAGAAAAAATTTTATCATGCAATTGAAATTATTGTCAAAAAAATTGTGAAGGAATAGATAGATCATTAGATCATGGAAGTAGAGCAAATGTTTCTTCAGTGGTCACAGTCTCTGTATTAAAAAAAGTTCGCGGTAAGTATATTTTCATCAAAATAGGATGCTCTCATATAAAATGAACTGCTGAATCAAAAAATGTAAAAACATACGGAGATTTTCATTTGGAATTCCAAAATTTCTAATATTTTTTATCCAATCCAAATTGTGATAGGTACCATTCGAACCACCAAAATTCCACATTGATACCAGGAAAGACAAAAAAATTATGGAGGAGAGCCTGAATCGGTTTACACCAGGTATAAAGACTGTTGGAATATGTGTGAAGGAAGATAATCTTCCGCATAAGAAGTTGAAACAGTTTTAAAAGCTGATGAGGAGGTTCTACCGATAATTGTCTGTGAGATTCAAATTTTCCATTTTTGTTTACATTAGTATAGATTAGCATATTAGCAGACATAATCATTGGGCTTCATTATTATGCCCTATAGGATAATATTCATCAAAATGAATCTTGTATCACAGATATAAACAAGCCACTTCATGGAGTTGATAAAACATAAAAGTTGGAAAGGTCAGAACTTTTGAGCCGTTGATTTTTGTGTAAATCCAAACATGGCCCACTTGAAAACTCCCAATGTGATTTATAAAACTTTTTGAACACTTATATATTAGAAAAAATATATGTGAATGCTACGACCAAATGTAGAATATAAAAGTTTCAACACAACTTGGTAAGAAATATTGTTTAGACTATAATTGGATACCAATAATGTGAATACTGATACCACATTTCCAAGTTGAGAAAATATTTTAAGTCAGTTTTCTTGAAAGTATGAAAAACTATCAGATGTTGGATTATTTTGAATAGATTCATGGATGTAGCCAGTTGCCGTTACTATGTGGTGGGAAATCATCATGAAAAATTAGAATTGAACCTTTCTATGTTTTTTACCACTTTTATTTGTAACTAAAGTTACTGCAGTTTCATCCTATAAGGACATTTTCAAACTTATACATTAAACTAAAAATGATTGATTATATTAGTAGGTTGCACCACAATGTTTATGCTTATAAATTTCCAAGGATTCCAAATAATTGAGTTTGCAACTCTACCTTGCATAGTGCAAAATTTCCGTATCGTTTAGATTCAGGAACTTATGGTTGAATCCCAAGGAATGGTTTGAAAACATCGAATAATTTTTACCTAGTCTGAAGGACCTTTCATGTTCAGCATACCATTTTGAGAAATTTCGACCACATTGTACCACATAAACACTATTACACTCCGGATACTTAAGCTTATAAACTCCAGATTTCTACAACTTGTCTACTTTATCTTTGGCATTGAAAAGGAAATCAGATAACCTGGCATGTGGTCTGAATGCCACTTCTACATTGTTTTTTTTTGAAGAAACCTGCAATTATCTCTTTAACCAAAATATGTGATACAAATTTTTTGATATCTCTTACTTTTAAAGATTTTAACAATATTATATTTCCTGGACTATAGCAATTACGGCAAAATTTGAATGAAGTATTTTGTTTGTCTTCTTGTGGCAAACAAAAAGTTCCCATTAGTTTTTTCGATATTTCAAGTTTTTTAGTTTTAATCTGTCTTTCTTCGCCGAAAATTGTCATAAATGATTGAAATTTTGATTTCTGTAATGATTCCTGAACTATAATACTCACTGAAAAACTGTAATGGAGTATATTATTTGTTTTTTTTTTTTGGGGAAATATATTTTGTCACAGATTTCCGATTTGCGAAATTTCTGAAACTCATATATCTCAGCGCTTGGTTCAAAAATAGGAGTGGTTCAAATTTGAAATCGTTCTCTTGTTCCAATCAAAAGTAAATTGAAAATGACCGCCGTGCGCACCGGTGACAGATAATAAAAAAAAATAAAGATCATTTCCACCAAAGCAACTCTTGGTCTATCTTTTCAAATAAATAAGTTGGTCTCAACTCCGAGGACCGCGGTACACTACTTTCTGAAGGTTGTAATATAATAGTCAGTTATAAAGTAAAAAATAACATAGCGTTTCATCTTTTCAGAATCACTTACCAAATATAAAAGTACATGCCTACTTTGCACCCATCACACCCCCACCAACTGGAGCAGGCAGTCGTCAGAGGTACTGCAGGTGTTGTGTTATACTATGAGGAAACTGCCCCTCTGGATCCCAAGGCCATGATACGCCATCTTCGTAATGCTATGTGTTCATCGAGCTTCTCATAGTAATTGTAGTTGGATTGGTGCAAGGCATTTTTATAATACTAGTCAAGCTTAACATCTTGTGACATCGACGGAGTAAGTCATTAAAAATGGAACCAAGAAAGTGTTGGTTGAGATATCGATTTGAAAATGTGAATTATATTTATTCATTGGTATTTTTTCAGAAAATCACAAGATGGTATAAAAAAATGTGTGAAAAGTGAGTCCCAATAATGAAGTTTAATGAAAAAAGAAAAATAACACTTCACTTTATCTAAGAAGTATTAAAAAAATCAACTCGAGTCATTTTTTCAGTGTCTCTTCAAACAATGAATTTTGAGTAATTTTGGGGTTATTTTTGAGACGACATTCTAGCAACACCTTCAATTTTAATTAATTCTTGCTCCCTTTTGTATAATTCTGACGATGTGTTTTTAATACTCTCAACGAGAAAATTTAATGTTTCAAAACTATTTTTTAATTTCAAGACAATTTTTACAGTTTTGTGTTTTTACATTATTAGTAATAAATGTCTATATTTTTATCAGGGTATGTAAATCGAAGAAAACATACCAACATATTTTTCAACTCATACAAATAACGAAGTTTAATGATTGACAATACACATGTCACTCATTTTTCCTATCAGTTGAAGTTGAAGTGTTTGCATATAATGTACACCTCGAATTTGAGGCTGAATTAACATTTTTCGAATGAACTCAATTTTCCTAAATTTGTTTCACTGAACAGAAAATAACCACAATTTCACTCATTTGAGGAAATTACGATTTCAAAGATTATTTCAAAACTGTCTAATTCTTTTCAATGAATAATTTTATCTATAACTAAAATAAACTAGCAAAGAAGCAGATATATTGAATAATTTTCGATTCGAATTATTTGTTCCATCTCTTTAAATCTCTTCAAATGATTTCTTAAGTAATTCATTTTGCAGTATCAACAGTTTTCAATGACTGAAAATCATCTTAATCTTTTAGATTTTTTTTATTATAATTTTTTTTATTCTTCTTAGCAATCAAATTCGAAAACTATTTGAAAAATATTTTTACCATACCATTTTCACATTTTATTGTTTTCAGTAAACGTTGAAAAGTGTGGAAAAAAATGAATATGTAAAAAACCATGCATTAGTAAAATGTGCAAAAACTTGTTTCAATTAACAGATTCGTAGATCTAGTTAAACATATTTAGTACATCAGTGACAACAGTTCATTGTGAAAGTTTTTGCAACATTAAAACGATTTATTGAAAACGAAATGGGGGCCATAGGGGGCTATTTCATTCAAGTATAAAACTGAATTATGAAAATTATTATATATCCATTATATAGAGGCCTTTTAACAAGTTGTCAGAACTTTAATCAATTCAGTAAATTATTTGTGTAAATAATTATAATAATACTATTATATTTAAGATTCGTCATTCTCAAAAATTTATTACATAGGAATCTGTTGGTATAATTCGCATTTGATTGACATGTGAAGGAGTTGATTTCGATGCATTGAGATGCAATAGAAATTCGAAGGACCAAAAAGTATCACTACGTCAAATTGTTATGTCATGCTATATTGAATAGGTTTGAGTTTTGTGAATATTTCCATTCTGGTAACATAAGTGGAACATATTTTTGTGTGAAAGGCCTAGCAGTTCGGCATGGGCTCTAGCAGAAGTTAGAAAACTGTACATACTCAACAATTTCGGAATGAAAATTATCATCTGGATCCCATCTCTTTGTGTAATCTGAAGTTAACCAAAAAATAACAAAAATTGTAAATCAAATGATTTTATTCTTGTGGCTGTGTTACATTTGAAAGTACCTAACCACTATTTAAGAAAATGGAAAATGAATAATCAATACTGATCAAAAGTATCATGGAATACAAACTTTAAGTTTTGTATTGACTCATCTAAATATTCTTGCCTCAGAATTAATTGTAGGAAATTGATGTATTTTATTTTCACTTCAAAATTCTACTATTTTAACGAATTGCCAAAATATTTCAACAAGTTTCATTTCAAGAGGGTAGGTACTATTAAAATAATAACCACTGGTTGATTCCTTCAAGACGGTTTCATCCTAAAAGTCAGTTCTCTGCAGCTGCAACAGTTGATACATATAATTTTTAATTAAAATTCCCTAAAAAATTCTCCCTACATTTTTCGTGTAAAGGAATAAGCAGTAACAGAATTGATCTTTTGGTCCATTAATTTTCTTGTTAAACTAGTTAACTCATTTAAATGGTTAAATATAATGAAAATAGGATTAATTTCTTTCAACACTTAAATGTGTTTTCGAAATCTCAAATTCGAAAGATTTCAGTTCAAAAATATATAGATTTTCATTGAGTTCTGAAAGGCCTAAAGATAATTCATCCAGGGATACATTAATAACATAGTTGTTCTCTAGACTTTTTCATTTTTGTGTCACTTTAACTACTTTTCTCTTATTTCAGTACTCATAAATCACGTGCTATTCAGTTCATGAACTAATTCTATGATTTTAAAATATTCAGTATATTCAATTACTTCGATTTTGTGAAGGTAAATTGTAATTTTAGGATATTGTTAATATCCACGATTATTATTCGTTTGAAAATTGTCAAGATTTCTTGGAGAAATCATTTTAATTTTGCTAGTGGAGAAGTAATTAAAATGTAACAAAGAGATCTTCTAGTAAATTCTTGTGTGTTTTATTGAACTTTTGATTCCTCTGAATAAGTAAATGGATCTGAACAGTAGTGCAAACAATATAAAAACATAGTACTTCTTATATATCTTGAAATGTCTGTTGAAGTCAGTTTTTTTATACGTTTTGATTGATTAGTAATTTTTCAAATGTTGGATTATAATTTACAAGTATGTGTCATCACAAGCACAGTAATACTGAAATTATGTGATAAATGATGCACATTCAAATGCTACTGTAATTCTTTGAAATACAGTTTGTAGAAAATGTTTTTCTCAATTACATTAATTAGTTGTATATTTGTTGTTGAGTACGTTACTGTAATCTTGGAAAAAAATGAACATTTTTCATTAGTTCAACAAAATAACAAGAAATAATATTGAAAAGGGGTTTCTCATTTCGAAAAAAAGTGGAATCGTAAAACAGACTTTTCAAATTTAAAATTATTGTTTTCGCACTTTATTTTGACAAAACAGGAAACTTTATCCCAATATAAAATAATAGGTATTTGATATTCATAGTCGTGATTGACAATGTTATAAATGTTAGAATCCCTACTTGAATGTTTAAAACGAGAACAGTGGAAGGGTGTGATATGTAAAGGGATCAATCGCCTATTCTTAATCTCAAAGTTCAAGATTCGAAATCAAATACCCTTTATTGATTTTAATTTTGTCATGAAGAGGCATTAAATCAAACCTAAAAAGTTATTTTAATTTTTTATTTGATTTTTCACTAATTTTTTGAATTGGAAATACAATATTTGTTTATGACTAATTAAAACAAATGAATTATTTGATGGAACAATTCAAAACATGTGGCATCCCACATATGTTTTGTATCAGCAGTTCCTTTGGTGAGGCGAGTTCATTTCAGTTATTTCAGGTTGATCCTTTTATTATATCCACTCAGTGTGGAAGCAACATACTTTGATTGCCAAAAGAAAAAAATGCAGGTGCTCTCCGCACAGCCTTCCCAGTCATCATTTAGTATTGCTAGATGAATTATTTGTAATTATATCTTCATCTATCCTCTTATTATTATCATTATTGAAATTTATTGTGACTTCTAAAAATAGTTAGCTACTATTTGACATTTCTTAGAGAGAACAGTAGAGAACTATTTTCCTGACCAACGATGTATATTATTTTTTTAAAATGGGTTTTATTTAATTGGTGAGCCTCAAAATGCCTGTGATACAAAAGAAAAAATTTTGATGATATGGTTATTATTTAAGCCAAAAATTTAAATGCAAAATATTTGAAACTTTTATGTTTCAAAAAGATCATTTTGAACAGAAAATTCAATGAATAAAGAAAAACTTCGGTGAAAAATTTCATCTGTTTTTCAAGAATAAGGTGTTATGAATAATGTTATTTAAACGACGAATTTTAATTTGGTCGGTCTTACCTTACCCTGTAAAAAAGACCAAACGACAATCGAGAATTGTAAGTATTACATAAAGAAGGAAATCATGGTCTATAACGAATGACTGAAATGAATTTTTCTTAGGCATTTTTATGTTTTTCAAACTTCATTGGATCAAGAAAAATAATACAGATGACAATGGAATCAATCTGAATACAATCAAGTTAACATTTGAAATACTGGGAAATAAGTTTTTGGACTTAATAAAATTATCATTAACCACTGAAACATTTCCTGACGGTTGGAAAATTGCCACCATCATTCCTATTGAAAAAATTATAAACACCGTTTTAGGATCTGATTTTAGACCCATAAATACTCTGCCAATTTATGAGAAAATATTAGAAATCATAGTGAAAGAGTAATTGATGAAATTTATAGCGAAACATAATATTTTGATTATAGAACAATCTGGATTTAGGGAATTCCATTCATGTGAAACTGCACTGCAATTTCTAATCTCTTCGTGGAAAGTTGAGCTATCTAAAAATCGTATTATAGGTGTCGTCTTTCTGGATTTCGAAAGGGCATTCGAGACGGTCAACATTGAGTTACTTTTGATGAAATTAAATAAGTATGCTCTAGATTATAAAGTATTAAAATGGTTCAAAAATTACCTCACATATCGGAAGCAGCTAGTTGAATATAATCAAGTGATATCCAGTACTTTAAATGTAATTTCTGGAGTCCCTCAAGGGTCAGTATTGGGTCCACTGCTATTCTTGCTGTATATATAGATTGAAAAATAAAATAAGTGAATATGCAAAATCAACAATTTATAAATCAATAATAGCACCCCACTTTGACTATTGCAGTACATTACTCTATTTTGTGAGCAATGAAAATCTAAACAGACTACAGAAACTTCAAAACAGATCCATGAGGGCAATATTAAGTTGTAATAAACACATCTGTGGAATACATGTTGGAAACACTGTCTCTTATGTCTGCTAAACAAAGGATAACACTGAATATATGTGTGAATTAACGTGCGATTCCGTGTTAGGAATCACACGTTAAAAGGTAAGACCTCGTTAATCCTTAGCTCGCACAAGTTTCGACTTCTGAGGATTGTCGTTCGTAGGGGTGCGACAGCTGGTTAACGGAAAAACAGATTTTTTTTTAACAGAATATGCTAATATTTAAAATTAAACACAATATGTTGCCAAATTATCTGAGTGATCAGTTAACCTACACAAGTAGTATTCCTACACACTCCGCTAGAAATAGAATAGGAAATTTTTATATCAACAGAAAACATATAGGTTGTGACTCGTTGTATAGTTCTGGTCTGATTGCATTTAATAATTTGCCAAATGATAAAAGACTGTAGTAAAGAAAGATATTTTCATCGTCAGATCATGAAATTCTTCAATATTAGGGGCACTCTGTGATTTTTACCTTTCTCCGGCGACTCATCAGAATTCAAAAGTAAATCTTGAAGAGAAACGGCCAGTTTGATTATCATAAAATCAATTAAAGAGGGCCACCATCAAAGAGGCTGTCAGAGGACGCTGATGGGTGAGAGGTCAAGACGACAATTTATCATTCAGCTATTTAAGTACTTCTGAGATGAATATTTGACTGTCGCTTGTTACGAGCTTCAAGTTAATTTCATGAGTAGCTCCGATCACAAATTTCCAAATGATACAAACGTATTCTTGTCAAGTGGCTCATCGAATACAAAAAACAGTTCACTCCGCAGGGAAATCTACCTGACGAAATAAAATCAATGAAAATAAAGAAATAATAAATGGAAAATTTGACTGAAAATGAACAATGAGTATATTTTTAAAGAAATAGAAACTAATTCGTAAAGAAAATACATTGTTGTGATCTGAGATGAAAAAATTAAATGAATCGAATAATGAGTTTAGGTCAATAATATATAAGCAATAAAAATAAATATAAACCATGGTATGTATAGGCTCTTATGGCCGGTGTCTAACAAATTGTCCTAGCTCATCAGAATATTTCGGTACTGGTATTTTTAATATTTCGACCTTCCATTCAGACATTTTCAGTTTTCATAGATTTTAAAAATGGTAACACCTATAACATCCATAACCATTTCTGTTGGGACACATATGAAATCAGCTGGGACCCGACAGCAATACTAGTCACATCACCACTTAATACTATTCGCCCTAGAATCGCTGGTTTCAAACTTTTCTTTTTTAAAAGATGTCTTGACTCCTTGTCGCATTTTATCCATATCTAGATACCGAAGTACTACGAGAACTGGCCTCACGCCCTCTCGCGGCAAGAAGTTTCGTGGTTCCCCTTATCATGGTCACACACAAAGTAAATATGTACAAATAATACCACAAATACTTCCACTTATTTTTTACCACGGAAACGGATTATTTTATATTGCAAATAAAATTAGAGTTTCCAGCCAGATCCTAAAATATTCTCAATCGAAATCTCATGAACATCATAAATCCAATTTCTGTCGAATCTATCAGTTGTCAAAGGTTCTTCACTTTCCCTCTTTTTGTGTTTTTGGGAATACCAGAGTTTTGCTAGTTGTTTTTAAGAAAAATATTGAACCAATTTGTTATAGTTCGTGTGTCTATACAAAAATTGATTTATGAAGGCATTTTATTTCCTATAATATAATAGAACACAAAATGGAGAATGGGATACTTTCCTGGGTGCCAGACTGCTGGAAAAAGGATGATATGAGTGCTCACTCATGGTGTCAGAGAATAGAATTGGAAAGAACTTGTGAAGAATTTGAACAAATTCAATATGAGATAAGAAGGGCTACTCTAGATATCAAAAAGCACATAAGATGTATCGAAAGAAATCAGTCTATATATGACTTGGGACAATTCCTTATTAGGGGACAGCTTTTGATGACTTTAAAACCTTTTACCAGCTATTACAAAGTGAGTTTACCTCAGAACCCCAGTTGAAACATTTCAATAATTCAGTTCAGGTCAAACATTTTAGGATTTTAAAAAAATTGTACTTGGTATGGATCATTTAAAACCAAGGTTGCTCAATATTCTTACATATATTGATGTTTTCCAGTTCTAACAGTTTGTTTTGTAGGTAAGGCGATATATAAAAATAAAAGCCAACCATCTAACAGCTGCATTAAATTACAATGTCGATTATAGAAGATGTGGTTTGAGTTCAGTCGTTTTTAATAGCTTCATCCCTAATATGACAAATGGCGATATTCTGTTGGTTATCCAAGTTATAACTTCTGAACCACAAAGCAGTTATATTACACCATCTAACAGTTCAGATTATTATATAGAATATATTGTAAGATTTTGAAGGAGTCTATACACGAATCCTAAATCTATCCAAACACTTGAAATTGTTACTTACCATCAGTTCAATAATCTATATTTCATTAATTACAATCAAACAATTAATGCAGTTTTAACAATCAAGGAATGAAGTCATTGAACTGGGCGTAAGATAATAAAATATTGATAAAAATACTTTTGAAACATGCTTTTATTTAAGTGCCCTAAAAAGATCAAAATAAAATCTCAAATCACATTGTTGATGGTCATCACTCCTTACCTCTTGATATTCTATCAGGAGTACCCCAGAGTTCCATTTTGGGACCTTTATTGTTCATCATTTATACTACTGACATTATCTCGTCCCTCAAAAAATGTAAAATACAGGCGTATGCTGATGACATACAATTATACATGCACTTAAAAAATGTATTATGAATGTGTGTATTTTCATATGTGATTAAAAAAGTCATTTCATTTATGGTTTTTATTAATTTAATACAAAGTTATCACTTCATAAATATGTTCTCTTAAATAATTGATTCAAGCCTTAAACTAAAACTCAATACACTAAATTAAATTGTTTCTGGAGTTATTAAATGGATACTTCCTGTTTACAGTAACTGTGGAGATATAGGTATAATACAAACAAAAATATTGTAATGGTACACATTGGTTGTCAATATTTGAAGAATAGTTGCCAATGATTGTTAAATATATCATACAACTACTAAACTGATTATCTCAGGTAACAAAAACCTCAACTAAAATTAACATGGAGTCAGATTTGTTAAAAAGAGAGGATGAATATAGAAGGGAAAATAAAAAATTGGAAGAAAGAACAAAGGAACTCATGAAAAAAGTAACAGATGTGATGGTGAGATAAGTGAACTACTTCAGATTTTATTAACATTAGTGACTCGCCCGGCTCCGCACGGGCGCAATGCTGATACTAAATATACATATATAATCATAAAGTGCTATAGGGCGAGGCGCGGCGGTACCGGCAACCGCTATGTCTCTGCATTTGAAATCTGTAATATCTTCGAAAATATTCTTTTAAATTAGATGCTGTAAAGGGCCATATTGATCTATATTAAATGCACAATGCATTTGAGGTACTTAATTGGAGAAGGATTAATTCTGTATTGCTTACAATTTCTAAACAGCCAATACTGGGTGCTCCATCTACGAAAATTCAAGAAGCCTAATGGTATTCGGATATTTCTTATCCAACTAGTAGGTTAAACTTGGAGTTCACCAATTTTATTATAAATATCATCTTGCGAAAATAATGTCGGATTATATCTGAAAAAATTTAGACTGATTTCAAAAATATACCTAATATTAAATAGCGTAATCATTAACATTTTCTTCAGTTATGGACATAAACAAAAAATGTTGATATTACATGAACATTACAAAATAGATAACTTTTTTAGAAATAATGGTGTTTTTCAGAAGATACAAGATAATCTGATAACAGAATCTTTTGAAATAAAGCCTGACTGTTTCTCAAAACAAAATGATTACAAATTCTGCAATAAACATGAAGATACTGAATTTGGAGATTCGAACACAAATGGAATCCAAAATATGGCCACTAAGGGTGCCACTCAATATTACAAAGCCAAAATCAAGTCTCTACAAGTCGAAAATCTGAAGATGCAGTCGGAAAATAAGAAAAAGGTCTGATATCCCACATTGCTTCTTCAAGATTACTTTTAATATTCCCTTCTTGTGTAGTCCTCAGTCGGATTATCAATTTTTATACATTATTCTACATTGGATGTGTAGGGGAGATTGGGTAAGAGTGAATCAATTTTTTAAGAAGTGTTACTCCGAAGTTTATAGCAAATTGATGCATTCCTTAAAATAAATGATAATTTGAATATCTAATTTTTAAAGTAAAAGTCATTTCATGGCGTGTGTTATACTAATTTACGAAGTAAAGGCACTTTAAAAAAATAAGAAATGATCCACTGTGACTCGGGAATGGGTCACTTTGGATCAATGCACGGATGGTAGTAAATCGACTGGGGCACACAGGACCAATTGCAAAGAAATTTCAAAACACCTCAATTGCCATATTATAATATTTGTATTTGTACTACTAGACAGTATTTTATGCCAAATTAAAAAATTAGCACTTTTTAATGAACATAAAAATAGGTTTTCCTTGACCTAAATTTAACAAATATTTCGTTCTTTTAACGTGATTAAACTTGAAAAGAAATATAAAATTAACACAAATTCGCTTCAGAAAAAATAATTGCAAACAAAACAAATAAGTACTTCTTTCTTTTTGTACTACTAGTGCTATAAAAAATATCAATCACATTTTGATGAACATATAGCTTTTCTTAGATCTAAGAATCAACAAACATAAAATTGTTTTCTCAACTGTAATAAATCGAGAACACACATACAATTAACGTAAATCAATTTTAGAAAAATATAGGTCAAAATTATACATACACTGTTTTCTCTTTGTGTTACCAGAACACAAAGAAACCGAATTGTTACCAGAACAATTCGGTTTTGGTAAAATCATCTCAATGTCATGTTAGGCAACCGTAGCAATATCTGGCACGATTGTTAGATCAGTTTCATTTTCCAGTTCTATAAGTTTGGCTATATAATAAATTCCTTTCCCTTTAACTTGGAAGTTAACAACAATAAAATCACATTCTTTAGGCAAACTCTGATGTGCAGGCAAGCAGTCAGGATCCACCACTGCATAATCATCTTCCAATATTGGTTCTTCTTCAAAATAAACACTTATATCATTTTCCTGGAACTGTCTTGTAAAACTTTTCTTCTTTTCTTTGTTTTTGCAATAGCCTTTTTCTATTTTCGTTTCTTTCTTTCTCTCATTTGCATTTCATTGTTATTTGGTGTGTCAGAAGCAATCATTGGTTTTCCTTTTTGACTTGGTCTTCCACATTTACGCGGACCCGCTTTAGGTAGCCCTCGAAATTGGAATGGACTTAAGAATGTTTTTTTTACATTTGAGGAACAGCTACCAGATGCAGTTGCAGTCGGATACAAAATTGGAGATTTGATTGAGCAAAAAACACTAACCATGGTTTCAGGTGATTTATTGTGCAGCTAGTCATTCAGGATTGTCGATACAGGGTTGCGTAATGTAACATCAGCTTGACTTGATTTTTGTGGATTTCTAGGAGGTTGTAGTTCATAAGCCGACGAAAGTGTCGTTCCATCGCTGCGAATGTCTGGGGCAGCAGGTTCTATAAGTTGAACAACTTGAGGAGAACCAGGACCACTGTAATATTGAGGATGATGGGGTTCTTGATTCATTATCGTGAACAGGTGATTATTTTCTATATCGACTTGTCGATCTGAAACTTCACTAGGAGCAAAATCTAGATCAGAAAAAATATTTCTGCCGAAGGGGAATATTCCAGTAGCTTTGAAAGATGAGCAACTATTCCCGAGTGTCATAGCTTCCATATGGGCTTCCCTGACACATCCAGCCACTTCATATATTGAGAAAGTTTTGCCTGGGGATCGCAACATCCAATTATCTACATCTTTGTTATACACAGTTTTGAATGGACCAAAAATTCCGACTTCCAATGGCTGCAGTTTTCTCGTTGAATGCAGCGGCACACTTAAAACTGTCATACCATTTTCTTTTGCCAGATTCGCCTCTAAGCAAATGTGCGACTCGTGGTTATCGTATATGAGCAGACTAGGGTTGTTATTGCTGTTGTTTGAATAACTAATAAAATGATGCATGGTTTTCACAAACAATTCAGAGTTCATCCAACCGGATGGTGTAGCTAGACCTATGGTCCCAGTTGGAGCCTCTGCAACCATATGCTGCTTGAAATGAACTCTAGGAAATATAATTACTGGCTGCAAGGCATTGCCCAAAGCGTTTACAATATAACAAGTTGTTGTTAACGTTCCGCGTTCGGCGCTGGTAACGTTAGAAACCTGTCTTTGCCCTTTGGCTGCTATAACATTGGCACATTTTTGCACCGTCATAGTATTTGTTTCGTCTAAATTGAATATTCTGGTGCCAATTCCAAAGGAAACATGTCAAGCGATTACATTTTCTAAATTATCGAAGAACAAATCAACATTAAGACGATTGAAAGACGTTGCTCTGCTCAAACTGCAACCCTGTGGACTTCTCAATGGTAATCGATTATCTCTTTTTCTGAGATTATACAGATACTCGATACCTGCGAACTTAGTCTCATGCCATTTATCTGGTAGGTACTTGTATACCATTCAACATCGATACTTCGTAAATTAATCCTCGAACGTCTATGATGGTATGAAGTCCATAGAACATTTGACTGCACTTAACAATGTAATCGACAATATTACTTTCTTGCTTATCAGTAAATATTTCATGAACTGCGTAGTTAGGTGTAGGCCTTATTGGTTTTTCAGGATCTGGATTATTTCTAACTTTCACCAGTCGACCTAGCAACGTTTCTTATTTTTTGGCCGTCCGAAATGAGTTTTAGAGCGGTACTCATCTGTTCTTCAGTATGAAGTCTTTCTTACTCGATTGCGAGGCATTTTTACCTTAAACATAAAGTACAAATAAATCTTAGCTTGATGGGTTACAAGTTACAATGGATCAACAATTCACTGTGACCCAATGCAAAACGATTCACTGTGACCCATTGACCGTTGTAGAAATCAAAATCAGATATGACAAGTGAACAACAAAAAAACATCTACATTTCTTATTTAATTAAAATTTAATAAATTATAAATCTCGTAGAAAAATAGGTTAGATACTTACGTAGGGTCCGGAGTGGGGCAGCGCGTGCTCCCACGCCGACGATTAGTGCGACGCAAACAGATATAGACGAGCGGCAAATACAGGTTTTTTTGTGTGCGTGAGTGCAACACATACTAAGTTACTGTACATTATCCACTATGATCCGCGATTCACTATAATCCCATTTCCCCTATGTAAAAAAAGAGTTAATGAATCAATTCAGGCTAAATGATACCATCAAAATATTTACAAAATATTGGACAATCTCAATCCCAATAATTGTTATGCATCGTACTGAACAACACTGAGATTTTGTAACAGTTTAAAAATCATAACGCAGGTTTCATAATCTTCTTCAAATGTTTATAAGGTAAAGTTAACACTGCCCGAAGAAGCTTTTGTATTTTAAAATGCTGATAGTTTCCATATACGTACTTACTCGTATGTGAAAATCTGAAGAGTGTTGTGCAATATAAAATTATAATTCGTTTCAAATTTGTCTACTTTCGTACAACTCCATAGTGTGGTTTTTTGAATGTGGTATAATGATAATATAATTTAAGGTATTTTGTGAATGCGAGTACCTATTATTCAATAATAAAACCCAACTTTTTCCAGAGTGAAGATCTTAAGAGACTCCAAAAAGAAAATCAGTGTTTACAAGAAGAAAAAGAAAAGTGGTTTATGGCATACAATTCTGCAAAAAACCATATTGGCAAACTAGAATCTCAGGTGAATGTATATATGTGTACACATGCACACACAAATTAGAATATTTTGATGATTTTCAAAATTTCTTTTATAATTCTAATGTGAGTTGAGTAATGTGCTTCTCGGCCCTTGGCTGAGATCAAAGTGTAGTATATAATTTCTTTTAATGACCCATTCAACAACTGATGTTATGGAAGGTGATGTTTTGCTCAGATGCATATAAAAAGCTCTAACTAAGTTTTGAGATTTAATTTTGGTCATTTTCTGATTATACTTACTTGCTTAGCGAAATCCACATTGAGAGAGTACTTTTTCAAATTAAAGCGATTTATTTTTCATTTGAAACGATTCTTCAAGAAATATTAGAATCCATTAACAAATAACTTTATTTACCTACTTATTACTCCAATCAAATATCTGATTTTCTTTATTTTTCATGACATTCAGATATCACAAAAACATCCGATACTACTTTTTTGACAACAAAATAACTAAAAGACTAGTCAATCGTAACAGGTATATTTGTCCCTAGGATCTGTCTGTATTAAATGAAATTAATTTTTTTTGAGTATCTCATTTCAAAAGTCAAAAATACCATATGGCTGAATAGATAATTGGAAACCTTTTCAAACGAACTGCGAGCGCTTTCGACAGCTGGTCGTACTGTCATCTTCTAGGCACTCCTCAAACTGAACTTGCCATCGTGTCGTTTGCCTCTTTATACGGTCAGAACGTCTCAACTCAGGTATTTCAGGTACTTTAGGTAAATTTGCCTGTATTTGTACTGCATCAGGTACTATTCTTTGTGTTAGATCTTCTCTAGGAATGTGTATGGTTTTGTTTAATATATTGAATGTGAGGTCTTGTTGTGTTTTGATTTGTATTTGTTCCTCGATAAGTGATTTATGACTGTTAAATTTATGGATATTCAAGTTTTCCCAAATGTCCATGCGGTTTCCCTTGTTGACTTGTTTTATGAGTTTTATGTTCTCTGGTGGGGGGGTAAATTATGTTTGTTTTGTATGGCGTGTGTTGTGAGGTTTGATATATATATATATACTAGGTAGGGAAACAATCATCTTGCCTACAAGTTTGCAGCACTACTAGTTGAAAGCACGATCAACTCAATTTTCAGTATATTTTCACAAATATTATAACAGGGTTTTGATTTAGGTATCTGAAATAACTTCGAGATTTCAAAGTAAATGCTCTGAATTCATATCGATAAAAAAAGAATCTGAACAATTGAAGAAGGACTTGAAGACTTCAAATTTGAATCTCAAGAATTTCGAAGTGCGACTACTCAGAGCCCAAGAAGAAAATGAAAAATTGAAAGATTCTATTAAAATCGTAAAAGATGATGAAAAGGTACTTCACTGTCACATTAGACAGGTATGTATTGGACTTTCTGAGTAGTTGGACGTTTTTTTCATTTAGGAACTGAAGGATTCGTTTCGGAAACAAATTAGTGATCTGACAACAACAATGAAACATATTGAGAAACACAAGATGGAGCTTCTGAACGGTTTCAAAAAACAATTGCAACTGGTAGATAATCTTAAAAAACAGAAGGTTAGTATCTAGTCAGCAGTGATAATAATAATTCTACAGAGTCTAGAGTAGCAAGGTTAATTGAATTTTATTAGCAAACGAAAAAAAATGTACCTAAACCTAGTTTTTTTTGTTAATGAAGCGATGAGAGCAACCAACAGAAAATATTTTTCAAATAAGATTGTTCAATATTGACATAATGGGATGTTTCAAGTTTCTATTTTCATAAATTTGAAGCTTAAAAAGGTTCACTTAGTTATATGAATGAAACAAAACAGAGTCAATATTTATGTTATATCCAAAGTGAGTAGGTCTATTCGACCCTCCACCGCAACCTGCAAGGGTTTATTGTGGCTCACACCTGTTCACACTCGACCAAATAAACCTAGCTTCTTAACGAATCCGATTAGTTTCAGGTCAGATGGTAAGAGTAAGGCTCTGCCGAACTCTATAAACCTGATTCGGTCCCCAGCGGGGCAGTCACAAAGATGTGCTCTGCTGTTTCATTATTTTTCAAACAGGCGACACACAGTCTTCCTACAGTCCGAGTCTCTGCATATGATGATTCAAATGACAGTGACCTGTAAGAAGTTCTTCCGTACTGTATCCCAACAAATATTTGGTATCAAGCTTCGAGGGATGAATAAACGCCTTGGAATGAGCTAATTCTGAAAGATTCTGCCAAAAGTCCATAAATCTTCTTGCCATCCAGGTGTTAAATATTTGTTTGGCAAAGCCTAAAGTGATGCCAATGACAGGTTTTGGTCTAATGAAGCTGCTTGCAGCACTCTCCTTTGCAAAGGAGTCTGCAGCCTAATTGCCAGTATGGCCAGGAATCCAGACCAGAGACAATATGTTCGAGGAGAGTCGTTTTTGGCAATTTGCTACCAATTTAGATGTTGCTTGGTAGGAGCCAAGAGCTTCCAAGGACGCTTGACTGTGAGAATATTTTGATTTTGTGTATGAGGTTGGATTCTACCAATCTCTCTGCACACAATTCAATAGCGTAAATTTCCGCTTGAAATACAGTCGCATCAGTTCCTAGGCAGGTTGATATCTCATCTGTCCTGGGTCTATGACTCAAAACACCTGCACCAGAACAACATTTATGTTACTGATACTTTTATTATTACAGATATATTTGGAAACTCTGAGAATAGCTGAAGCTTCCGAAGCTGAATATTTGAAAATACTGGATTGGAAGTTGGAATGAACTTTTCATGGTAGACTTTGCAATGTTCAAAATCAATTCATTATTTAAGGTAAACATGTTTTGAAAGCTTTCCCCTGTAGTTTCATTGATAATATCTTAGAAACACAAAAATGGAGTTTTCCCGTCTTCATCTTTATTACTTACAAGTAATTAAATTTGATTTCAAATGCCTTTATTTCCAGATTTTCTGGAATGTGGCAAGAAATAAAATGAACTAATTTTTTTATCTTTTGGATTTTACATTGAATTTATGAACACATGAACACATCCATATATCCATTAAAATATTATAGAAGCAGAAAATTAATACTTTTTTATCATTACCAGACTTTCTTTTCATGCAATTGAACTAAATGTTAATCTATCTGACGACGTTCTATTGCATATACTGCCTTAGACTGGAATCAAATAGTGCTTCTCTTCATATATCTCTTAACTTCTGAATGTATCAAAGTTGCCAGTATTTAACAGTTCAACCCTATATTATTTCAGTTTTTCAAAGAAAATTAATTCTTATGATTTACTTTATAGGATGGTGGTATAAAAGATATACCACCACATTATTAAAAAACATTCCATTGCTCCAATGGAACATTTTCACTAAATTTTCACTGTTTTGCTGACTGGGAGATGTCTTGCTGTAAATTGCCGATAAAACAATAACAAGTGGAGACTTAATCTATTCGGGTGGACCAAGGATTAGTCGACATTTAGATATATTCATCACTAGTGTTGGCAGCGACTTCATTTGTGTGAACTTCATTGTTTGGGTTCTTCCAGATTTTCTAACAAAAAGTTCTCGTGTATTCGTCCATCTTCAATTTATTAGAAAATCTTTGTAAAAAACCAAATTTACATTAAATGTGAAGTGAAGCTTACCACAATACATGGCATTTTTTAGCTGAGCCCACTATTGCCATCTCAAAAACGGGGAACTAGAATAATATCTTTTCAAATCAAGAGAATGTCAGTGGCTGTTTTCAAATATTTGAAAAAAAACTAGAATTGTCGAATTAGTTTTTTGGCTCTATTGCTTCCACTTGAAATGATAAAAAAAGCAGAGGAACTTTCAATACCGTTCCACATTTGTTATAATCTGGTATCAACAAATTTTCGATGCGACGTTCATTTGTAAAAATGACTCTGTATGTTATCAATATCACACGAAAAAGGGTTTGCAAAAATCTTCAGTTTGCAGTTGTATTAAAATAATATCCTTCATTTCCTCACTTTTTCAATGAAAATTAATCCTAGCTTCCTCGACAGTCGTACAATTCGGAAAATGATCAATTTTTTTCATCAATATGTTTTACAAAAAGCTTGTTTTTCATTTGGATTGCCTTTACGTCATTATGCATATGACGCTCACTTCGAAGCCTTACATTCTCCGTATTTAATTCATAGGTTACATATGCCAAAAATCCAAGGTCTATTAACCACTGAATATGCGTTAGCTCTGGAATAGATTTGCCTTTTTCATTCATAAAAGTGTTGAATTATTTTCGGACATCAAAAATGTTTTCAGTAATGCACCTCTACTTAATCATCTCTCTTCAATACTAAACATCTTGATGATCTGCTTCCATATCTGACAGAAACTGCGGGAATGTCCGAGGAGTTGATCTATTTTTTCTGATGTGATGCTACGATGTCCATGACTTCTTTCTGTAATACAACTTTGGAACATAACGCTTCTTGGTGGATAATGCAATGAACAAAAATTGGGATGTCACATTCTATCTTTGCCAGTTCCATTTCAGTTCTACCTACCAAACCCTTGTCCACTCATGTTCCTGACTCCATCAGTTGATACACTAACCAATTTTTCACATGGTAATTGCATCGATACTAGCGCTTGTTTCAAATTACAAAACAAATCTTCCCCTATATACGATTTCTTCAAACTACATAACTGTGAAAGCTCCTCATAGGCATTAAAGTTCTTATCGATTTCACGAACAAATATTAAAAGCTGGACAGTATCGAAAAAGTCATTACTTTCATCGGTAGCTAAAGAGAATCATTCAAATTGTTGGGCTTTTTCCCGGAGTTGCTGACATGAATTGTTGAGCAAATTTTCAGTTCACTGGTTACACATTGTTGCAGAAAAACATTTATAATTTTGTTTTTCATTAATTAATAAATTTATTTGGAAATTTTCAACTACGAGCCGGAAGTAGGCCACGTTTTTCCAACCGCTGATTATATTTTTAGGATGTTTTGAAATATGACCATGCAATATTTGATTAGTTCTTATTGTTGAAGCATGAATAAATCTGGGTTAGGATGTGAATAAGACATGGGCCTCCTCACTACATGAAGAACAACACAATCAGTATTGAAGACCAGAAAGATCTTTGGCAACACTGCTACCTCTACTACAAAATTTAGTTTTGATATAGTAAGTGTGCTGGTTATCCAGCACTAATTCTCGGCCTTTTGTAATCATTTAAAGCAAATATTAAGAGAAATGAGCCATCCCGGCTTATTACCACAGTTAAACTAGTTCTCGGCATCGTATGTTTATCCAATACGGTAAGGGTTTAGATGACATCATTAGCGAAAGTCGCGCGCAAAAAAATGTTGTTCTTGTATGTCTGAGGAAGAGATAATACGTGTGTCTGAATTAGGAAAGTGTTAAGTGGAGTCAATCGACGAAATAGTAAGTATTTTATGACTTTTTCATTTAAAATGCATGTAATATATTGGAGAAAAGTCGAAATTTTCAGTAGCCGCGAAACAGTATAAAAAAAATATGACTTTTTAGTTCTCGGCCACTTTGAGAAATAGAGGGGCTGAGAACTAAAATATATAGTGATTTCTGTTCTCGGCTTCGTGTAGTTGTTATTACTTACTTCAAATATATTTTTATTCGTTTTTTCATTTTGTGGCTAGATCTAAAAGAAATAGAATCAGAACCAAAGACTCTGTGGTAATTTGACCATGGCAAAAACGAGGTGAATAATGTACCAATACTCTGAAGAAGATTTGAAAAATGCCTTGCATGAAGTCAGAGTTAATAAAATGAAGATAAAAGAAGCCACTAGAAGATTTAATGTCCCAAGGGCAACAATTCAGGACAGGCTGACAGAGAGAGTACCGGATGAGTTGAGAAGACCAGGACCACCACAACTATTGACCTTTGAAGGGGAAGAGCGAATTAAAAAATGGGTACTTGATCTAGTTAAATGTAGATTTTCCCATTAAGAAACAGATGCTACTGGATACGGTTTGTAAAATAAATGCAGATTCTGGTCTGAATTCATTTAAAAAGGGAACACCAAAACAAACATGGTATATGAACTTCATGAAAAGGAATCCAGAGATATCTCTCAGGGAAACAGAGGGAATCAATAAAGCTCGAGCAGCAGTAACAGAACAATCTGTAAGAAATTGCTTCAAGGAATTTGAACAGTTTCTGAAAGATAATGACTCATATACTAGAAGATCCTAGAAGAATCCTCAACGGAGATGAGTCTGGTTTCTCCCTATGTCCATCTAGTGGTAAAGTTTTAGGACCAAAGGGTTTTAGAAGTCTCATTACCGTTAAACAAGGGAATGAAAAAGAAAACATAACAGTTCTCATTATGTTCAATGTAGAAGGAAAATTTGCCCCTCCCCTAGTTCTCTTTCCTTATGTTAGACCTCCTCGAGCTATCGTCGATAACATGCCAAATGGCTGGATTTTGGGAAAGTCCGAAAAAGAATGGATGACATGTGACGTGCTTTTTGAGTTCCTGAGCAACGACTTCAATACCTGTTTAACAAGAGAAAATATCCCAAAACCTGTCATTCTCTTTGTAGATGGCACAAATCTCATCTTACTATGGCGACAAGTGAGTGGTGCCATACCTCCAAACACTACCCATATGCTGCAACCAGCTGATGTGTGTTCAGGCCAATGAAGTCAGAGTAGCAAAAATCCGTATGCAAGTGGCAAAGTGAACCAGAGAATTTGAATTGTTCCGTGACCAAAGTAAATTTTTGCACTGTTTTTAATGAAATACTGTCCGAAGCTGAACAATTCAAGGAATCTGTAATAAATGGATTTAGAAAATCTGGCCTTTTTCCTTTGAATTCCGAAGCTGTAGATTACAGTAAATGTGTGGCAGATACTGCAGAAAAAATCCGTAAAAGAAAATCCAGCGAAAATATATCACAGCGGGACATTCATGTTGATGTTATTATAAATAAATTTAATTCTAAGGAAGCATCAGTGACTCCAAAAAAAAACTAATAAAAATGATCAAGGACTACAGGTCACTTCAGAACCAGTGACCAGAACAAATGAGAATTATATTGATGACACTGAGTTAAATACCAACAGTGAAGTAAAAATTCCAAATGATTTTGACATTACGACTATTTCTGATATGATTATTATCGACATGGATAGTATGAATATTGAAAATTGTATAACTAGTTCGTTTATGAAAGCTATTGAAAATGATCTTCCGATAATAAATATTTCTGGAATATCCGTAATGTCTACAGAAATTGCAACTGATGGTGTTCATGAAACAGGCGAAAATCAAAATGACAATGATATGCTGGAGTATGAGGATGAAAATAAATTTTGGAAAAGAAGACACTAAGAAAGACAAAACAAATATCGAAGATGGAAAAAATCCGAATGAAGAGAAAAATGAACAAAATATTATTTCACAAATGACAGAAAATTGGTTACAGGAAAATGAATACAAAAACGATCATAAACAAAAGAAACATTCTAGTGAAAAAGCAAAATGCAAACTACATGATGCATTTGCAAACCATCTAACTTATCCCGAACCAGTGAAACGAAGTGAGAATGGAGGGAATATTACAAGAGAAAGGATGAAGAGAAGCTCAAAAAATTGGAGATAGAAAAACGTAAAGAAAAAATAGAGAAAATAAACAAGAGAAGAAATTAGCAAAGAAAAAATCTACTAACAGAATGAATACAAATGACAAGTCAAGAAGAAATGAGAAAATACCATGTAACTTATGCAAAGATGTATTAAACAGTGACACAGAAGACAAGATAACAAGAATATAGGATGCGACTTCTGAGACAAATGGTATCACAAAAAGTGCACTGAATTTTACGAGATTCCGTATAGCATTGCTGCCGCCAAAGATTACAAGTGCGAAATATAACACTGAAATAAAAAAAGCATTTTTTCCCAGTTTTTCAGGTTTCTTCAACGAAAGGTTTGAAGTAACAAAAAAAAATTTTCAGAAGTTATTACCAACACTTGACTTAATATTTTTCATTCAAAGCAAATTTCAATTTAAAGGCGTTTTCTACACTTAATTTTGAAACAAAGTAGTTTTTTTCACTTAAAGGCCGAGCGAGAACCAGTACACTGACCCTAACTGCTCAAGAGAGAAAACAAGAAAAATATAGTTCCTATAGAAAAACTATGAGTAGATACAATATGATACAACTTAAAAATGCATGAAGGTGCTAAAATATGATACAACTTAAAAATGCATGAAGGTGCTAAAGGGCCACATATTTCTTTTATAGGGCAGTTTCAACTAGAAGTGGATAGTATACTTTGGAAAAAGTTCTATTCCAAATGTCTAGTAGAATAAAAATTAATTGTCCAGTGAGCAGCGCAATAAATATTTCATAGAAAATGCACAACTTCCCAGATACAGATTAACAAATGCAATGAAAAATTGAACCCTGAATCAGAAAACTGATTAGTAAGAGATTATCCAGCAAATTATAGCCTAGGATAATGGTAATATCCAAATTAGCATAAAAAAATGTAGTAAAGTGATAAATAAAACTTTACTTACCATGTTTATTCATTTTTGTTAGCTTTCAAGGCCATGGACACAAAACTACAAACTTTCTAACACTATACTTGATGAAAATCCATAACGTAATCAAAAAATATTCTATTGCGAGATTTTCACTAAACAATTTTACAAAGAGACAACACTTGTTTCAGGCGTGTCTACTAAGTTTAGTAAAGACACGCCTGAAGAAGCCATTGTATGGCGAAATACGTATTTATAAAACTGTTTAGTGAAATTCTCACAATAAAGTGTTTCTTGAATAATTCTCAACATTATGAACTTTTCACCTAATATTTTGAAGAGATCAACACTGGCATCCCATTCGGTCCGACTTGGATTTATAAAATGTTGCATAACATGCGGACCGACTGGATCGATGGTAGACAACAAGATGCAGAAGCAACTAAAGTCGAGCATTCATCGCAACGTGTACCACATTACTGAGAATACCCAGCCTTTCCTTACCCTGCCACTCAACATTGACAAGCCTCTGTGCATTACAAACGAGTGTGTGAATTTCTTCCACCCCATGAATCACATTTAGATACATAAAAAACTAAAAAAAGTTTTTCAATAAAATAATAAATTTTCAATACTATCGAAAGATAGTTACATATTCAACAAAAAATTTCACTCCTGAAATATGAATTTTCATGAATTCTAAGTGTCAACAAATCCATGTTCAACTGAACATTTTATTCTAAAAAACATATAAAAATAACATATGTAACATACAAGTTGTTTTTTTATAAAACTACACAGTCGATACATATTTATACATGTACATTTGCAAAACTCAGAAAAAGTGCTAACGCAAAAGGGAGTATCTTCTAGATCTGTTTATGTACAAAAACCCAAGACAGTACAATTCTAGAAGTTGCTGAAAATTTTTATAGACGTCACACAACGTGTGTAGCAAAAGGTCAACTATTCCTAACTGGATACACAGTACCCAGTAGAAATGTAATTTACTTTCAAATACATTATGAAACTACTACTCTATATTCCATTAGTTCGGTAATAAATATCCAAAATTGTTCCATCACAGGTCACAATAACACTGATGAACTTATCAAGCAGTTATTTTCTTCTATTTAGAAACAAAAATGTTCATGTTTGATAATCAAATACTTTTCTCTCTCAATATAAATATGCAAAAAGATGACATATCAAAATCAAAGAGGAAGACATTTTTTAAAGATCTTCAAATAATTTGACGTACTCTTTGGATTGGTATAAACTTATTATATTTATAACTCTTCGAAGGAGTGAGATATTCCCTTTTTTCTCAACATATGTAACAAGTATAAAAAATAAACATGATAACTCTAGTCAAAACGAATCTCCAAAATTAAAAAATATTCTTTATAACATAAAAACTCAAAAAGTCTACAAGTAATACAAGACAGTTTCAAGACTGTTATGTGCAGGGCGATGAAGACTCTGAGCCGTCAAAAATGCAAGCTTGTGAGCATATTGACAAGGAGCTGGAACTCTCACTGTTCCACTCCAATTATAATACATGTGGCATAGCTTGTAGGTCAATATTTGCATTCTATCTGCAGACAAACCAATAGTATCTGCAATGACGTTATAACTGGTAGGAGAGACTGATCCTTGTCTGACACACTGCGATACAATGAAGAAGTCGTATCTGCAAGTGAAAAAATATTTTTAAAAATACATAGGTGGATTGAACTACTTAGTGAATATTGTCAGATTAATACAAAATTTTAGATACATATAGAATAGAATTTATTTGTCATTAAAAATTTTATAATTACATTAAATGACTTATAAAATTTCATCAGACTAGTCAAACCTGAGCGTTAGGCTATATATAAAATATAAATAGATACATACATGTGCATTGAAAGCATGAAAGAAAAGCATAAATAGCATATTATTGACTTACATTAGGAGTTTAAAAATTATTGCACAGAATAATATTCCAGGTGACAGTATAGTCTTGATTTAAATATTTATTTCCAAATAAGTTGACTGCATGGTTATAGTAAATGATGCCTTGATAACTTGCAGAGTCCTGTTCCACCGCCAAACATGAGTTAGGTGGTCTTAATTCGTTACCCCTTCGTGTGTTGTAGTTATGACACATATTANTGAGCAAGTATCAAACATAAAATTTCTGGGTGTAACAATTGATGAAAAACTGACATGGAGAACTCATAGCGAAAATCTGGTAGGGAAATTGAGTAGTATCAATTTTATTATCAGACAACTGAAGGACACTGTATCTATAGAGGTTCTCAGAATGGCATATCATGGTCTAGTGTCGTCGGCACTCACATATGGCTTGATCTTCTGGAGTAATTCAACACATATTGATAAAGTATTCATTGCTCAGAAGAAAATCATACTTCAATGATGAATAAATTATCTGTATCTGTAATATATGATACAATTCTGTTACCTTCATTTTTCATTATTGCATTGTACGAATGTAACAAAGCTTGTTTTCTCAACATGTCGGCTGCCGTTTCAGACTATTTGACCAAACACTCTCCTATGATCAAGGCGCCACATTGATCAATATGATTGAGACAGTTACACCCCTGAAGAAGCTATTGTATAGCAGACCTACAACTTTGTAGGTACGTGTGGCAGATACCCAATGGAAAAAACAATAACTAACCCAGCTACGGCAGCGCAGAGAGTTGAAGTAGAACCATCAGACACCTGTGCAACGTCTTCAATTTGGAAGATTCGTCGTCAAGTTATTTTCCACTATGAGAACCAGATACGACCGATACGACCAACCGATACTCCGGTTTCTGGGTGCTTGCCCTATCATCAGTACCGGGCATGGTCTCTTCAGAACGGTGTGCACCATCCGAGTATCACGACCGAAGAAATATAATTCCAGCTAGTCAATGAAACTGCAGAAAGATTTCATGACATACAATCTACCCCTTTCTAAATAAAGAATTATTGTAAAAGTGTTGAGCGAAAATTTGAGAAAGTGTTTCCTGAATGACTTGACGTGAGTCATTACTGCACGTATACAGTGCGTAAAAGCCAAATGGAATAAATTCATTATTTTGGTTACTGTACACATTTAAAAAAATCCCGAAATATGTCAAATGTAAATTAT